ACCACCAAGGAACCAGCTCCCACCACCCCTAAGGAGCCAGCACCTACTACCACCAAGAAACCAGCTCCCACCACCCCTAAGGAGCCCTCACCTGCCACCACCAAGGAACCAACTCCCACTACCCCTAAGGAACCAGCTCCCACCACCCCTGAGGAGCCCGCACCTACCACCACCAAGGAACCAGCTCCCACCACCCCTAAGGAGCCCGTACCTACCACCACCAAGGAACCAGCTCCCATCACCCCTAAGGAGCCCGCATCTAGCACCACCAAGGAACCAGCTCCCACCACCCCTAAGAAGCCTGCACCCACAACTACCAAGGAACCAGCTCCCACCAGCCCCAAGGAGCCTGTACCTACTACTGCCAAGGAATCTGCACCCACTACTCCTGAAGAGCCATCACCCACTACATCTAAGAAGCCAGTCCCCACTACCCCTGAGGAGCCTGCCCCAACTACTCATAAAACACTGGCACCAACCACCACCATGAAGCCTCCCACTACCCCAAAGATACCTGCTGAAGCAACTCCTGAGTTTCCTTCAGAACCCACACCAGAAGCTCCTAACGAAAGTCCCAAGGAGCCTGCCTTACCGAGCACCAAGACTGCTGCAATGACCACAGCAGCTCAAGATAAGACAACAAAAAATGAAATGCATCCTACACCCGAAATGGATGCACTTAAGATCACAACAAAAGAGACAGAAACTATAGCAGAAGGAAAGACCGAGTCCAAAACAACAAGTACCATCATGCAAGTAACATCTACAACTCCAGATACTACATCATTCAAAATTATTACCCTGAAACCCAAAGTAACTATTACAACTGAAGAGACTATGAACAAACCCGAAGAAACAACTGCTGGACCAAAAGACACACCTAACTCTAAAGCAACAACTCCAAAACCACAGAAGCCAACCAAAACACCCAAAAAGCCTTCTACCAAAACCCCAAAGAAAACACCCAAAAAACCTGCTTCTACTAAAAAGCCAAGCACACCTAAAGTGAAAAAACCAAAGACTACACCAACTCCCCCAAAGACAACACCAATGTCTGAAGCAAACCCTACCTCTTTGGCAAAGTTCATGACCAGTACTGTTCCTAATCAAATGCCAAATTCAAAAATAGTTGAAGGAAATCCAAATCACGAAGATGCAGCTGGCACTGAAGGAGAAAGGCCTCACGTGATTCTCAGGCCCCCTGTGTTAACTCCTATCATTATTCCAGGAACTGATCACTTAGGGAGACTACCCAATCAAGGGATCAGCATTGACTCCATGCTTTCAGGTAACAGCAGTTACTCTCATTTTTTTTTTTTTTAATTTTTTTTTATTTATTTACTTATTTATTTAGTGTGTGGCCAGCTCAGCCCACCAGGGGGTGGGCGGGCCAGCATGTGGTGCTGGGGGATTGAACCAAGGTCTCTGTGCTTTGCTTGAGCTTAGCTTGTTCTAAGTAGGTGCTTTAGACCACTGAGCCATCTCACCAGCCCCTCATTTTTTTTTTAAACATTTATTTATTTTGTGTGTGTGTGTGTGTGTGTGTGTGTGTGTGGCCAGCTCAGCCCACCTGGGGGCGGGGCTGGCTGGCATGTGGTGCTGGGGGATTGAACCGCGGTCCCTGTGCTATTGCCAAGCTTGTTCCAAGTAGGTGCTTTAGACCACTGAGCCATCTCTCCAGCCCAGTTACTCTCATTTTAAAACTGATGTTAATTTTTATCTATCCTAACCAGAATGCTGATTTAGTATCACTCTACTGATAGATTATCTAGAACCCAACTTTGCTGATTTGGTAAGTTTTATGGTTTCCCTCTAAGTAAGCAGAGGAATAAGCATAGTAAGCACATTTAATTTTCAGACAACCAAGTAATAATGTAGGGTTAGGAATTTAGTTTAGCTATCTATAAGAAACAGAAGTAGTATACTGAATGTCAAAACACAACAAAACAAGTTTCAGTTGGGAATCAATCCTTAAAAGAAAGTGTAAGACTAAGTTTTATTGTAATATTTCTTTTTCCAAATCATCCAAAATAGCAAAGACTAAAAATAGTATTTTAAACATACAAAAAGTGGCTCATTTACATTCAGATCAAAATACCTTGGTGGGGCTGGGGCGATAGCTCAGCTGCATCAGCACCTGCCTGGCAAAGGTAAGGTCCTGAATTCATTCCCCGGTACTGGGGAAAAAACAAACAACAACAAAAAAACAACCACAAACACGATGGTCACTGAGGATATAGCTCAGTGTCAGTGCCTGTCTGGCAAGTGTACTGCTGGTACACACACACGCACACACCCCAAGAAGAAATAAAAGGAAAAGAAAAATTGGCTTATCTAAATTTCTTTTTATAGTTCTGACTAGTATCACTTGTAGGTAAGGTGGAATTATGAAATATATTGTGCCCTTCAGGAGCTTAAAAGATAAACAGGAAACAACCCTCTGAGAGGATGCCAAAATAACATTTTTCTTATTTTCTTTACTTTTTGTTAATTTGTTTTAGATGAGACCAATTTATGCAATGGTAAACCAATAGATGGACTGACTACTTTGTACAATGGGACATTAGTTGCATTTCGAGGTGAGCTATGTACATACTTTGGTTTCTCCTATCATTTTGTTCTGGTATTTACAAGAACCAAACTCATGGGAAATAGCCAGTGTGGGTTGAACTTTCTGGAGGGGAAGTTGATGAGCAAATCTATCTTGTACATTGAGAACCTAACAGTTATCACCCAAATATTGGGCAAACAAAATCACACACATTATAATAAAACAAAAATCTTCAACTGATACTACTTAGATTTTACCCTCAATGGTGATGTGTTCAGAGTGTTATAGAAAATGATAATGGCAGTTATTTCATGCTGATTCTTTGGAGATTCTGCTAACTGAGATTAAATCTAAACAGAAATCGAACTCAGCAGAGGTTAAAGAAATCTCAGTACTTATTAAATTATAATTCTTTATGCTAAATTTCATACTTTGGAAATATTTAGAAATATTGAAATATTCTCTTCTGCACCTAACTGTATTATACTTCTAGTCCTATCTTACCATATTCAGTGTTTTCTTTAAAATAACCATTAAAAGATCTTGAATTTGGTTTCTTCAAGAATGAGTTTCAGTACTCGGCATGTAAGCTGACATATCTCTTTAAATTTTAGGCCATTATTTCTGGATGCTAAATCCATTCAGCCCACCATCTCCAGCTCGAAGAATTACTGAAGTCTGGGGTATTCCTTCCCCAATCGATACTGTTTTTACCAGATGCAACTGTGAAGGAAAAACTTTCTTCTTTAAGGTAACAAAAATACTGTTAAGAGTAAAATCAGAAAATAGTAAATCACCCAACTTCAAATTCAAAAGTGTCTACGTATTTTCATGAATACTTTATCAAAATCCCTTATTTTGATTATCATTAATGGCCTACTTATGCCAATATTTAATGAAGTTAACATTTTCTCCCTATACTTAAGTTTAAGAATGACTTCTGACCCTTTTTTTTTTCCCCCTTAACCAAAGCTATCAATATTTCTCTTTTCAATTGTCAGGATTCACAGTACTGGCGTTTCACCAATGATAAAAAAGACCCAGGGTATCCTAAACTAATTGTTAAAGGATTTGGAGGATTGTCGGGGAAAGTAGTAGCAGCTCTTTCAATAGCTAAATACAAGAACAGACCTGAATCTGTGTATTTTTTCAAGAGAGGTATGTGCTACATAATTGACAAAATTACAAAAATTTTATGAATTTATTTTTATTCAGTATTTTCATTGATTACTGTGTCTACTGTGAAAAGCTATCTTTTATGACTGGACTCAAGTATTTCAATGAAAACTGAGGGCAGTAAAGAAGTATTTAAGTCACTTCATCTGTGTTAAAGCCTTGATATAGAGTTAAATCATTTATTTTCAGTTAAACACCTAACTATGCAATTTGTTGAATTTTTTTCATTCAACGTGTATTCCAAGTTTTAGTGATTATTTTGATTTTACCTTAATATATAATTATCCATAATGTCTGCATTTAATTTTTAAATATTCTAGCAATTACATATTGTAAAAGGTTTTTCCTTGTTTTCTGGGTGGATTAATATCTATTTTCACATTCTGTGTGATTTTCTAATATACAACAGGTGGCAATATTCAGCAGTATACTTATAAACAGGAGCCTACCAGAAAGTGCACTGGAAGAAGGCCTGTTATAAATTATTCAGTGTATGGAGAAGCAGCACAGGTTAGGAGACGTCGCTTTGAACGGGCAGTCGGACCTTATCAAATGCACACCATCAGAATTCACTACTCTCCTGTCAGAGATGCTTATCAAGACAAAGGTAACATTTTTACTGTATTAAAAATTCCTACACATGAAGTAGATGTGATGCTTTCTCATAAACCCTTATTAAATATAAGTACTAAATAACCATAGTAGTCTAATGTTTACTGATGTAAAAAACATCAATTTGCCTTAGTGAGCAACCAAAGATCCAATCTTCATGGGCTAGGGAGATAGCTCAGCAGCTGTACCTGCCAGGCAAGTACAAGGTCCTGAGTTTGATTTCTGGTCTTTGTGGGTAAGGATAGTAGTTTATTTATTTAAAAAAATTTTTTTTGTTTTCCTAAGGATAGTAGTTTATTAAAGTTTGTTAATAAACACTATTTATCCAGTCCCTCTTACCAAAAGTAATGTCTAATACAAATTCCTCAAAATACCTATAGTGCCATATCAGAAGACAAAAACTGAGACACAGGAATGAACTCACCTACCTAAGTAATGGAACTATTCAATGAACTTGATATTAAAATCCAAACCTGTCTAGCTCTTTCCAAAATTATAAATTTCCTTTTAATCTGATAGCTTTTATTATAAATGTCATCTATAGGTTTCCTCCATAATGAAGTTAAAATGAGTACAATGTGGAGAGGATTTCCAAATGTGGTCACCTCAGCTATAACACTGCCCAACATTAGAAAGCCGGATGGCTATGACTACTATGCCTTTTCAAATGGTAAGTTACAGTGTAAAATCATAGCGGCTTTCTGAATTGATTTCACTTGTGGAAGTATGAACATAATTAAAGCAAAAATGCCAAGCGAAATGGCAACTAAAAGTAGTAAGTTCAACTATAATAGTTTAATTGTTGTGAAGGGAGAATTTTTTGCTTTAATTTCAGTTAAATGGGAGAGGAATGCAACTGAATTTTATCTTTCATGACATTATGATAAAACATATAAATACTTGTGTAAAACTTTTGCTGAAAATAGCTTTTTACTTCTATCATTTGAGCCATTTAACAGATGCCATGTATATCTTTAAATGACCCACATGATCAGAAAGACATTAAATTATACTATACAAAAAACTTTTCTATTGAAAGTTCAGAAATCTAATTTATTCTGCCTATATGACTGTATGAATGACACCAGAATGTATTTTTAAAAATCCTAAGTGAACTATTTTCAGAATAATTTGGTTATTCTAAAATGCCTATTTCAAGAGAGTTCAGCCTAGTTTAACTCAAAGATGTTGAAAGGTGACTCCATCAAGACAATTGTTTTGGTCAGAGAGTTCTAAATTAATAAAAACACTTCAGCTATGAAAATGTTAAACTGAGTATATTAATCAACTCAAACTGTTTTTGAGTTCAGCTGTTTTGTTTACTTTTAATTAAAACATGATTTCTTTTCCATTTAGATCAATACTATAACATTGATGTGCCTACTAGAACAGCAAGAGCAATTACTACTCGTTCTGGACAGACTCTCTCCAAAGTCTGGTACAACTGCCCTTAGACTGATGAACAAAGAGCCAACTAATTAAAGCAAAGAAAAGATACTCAATTTTGACACTGAAATACATTTTATTAATAAAGAATGTTGAGATGAACATACCAATTTAAATATAAAAATGTTTTGAACTTGATAATTATTACACTAAAACAGATCTGACAATCTTATTCACAACTTATCATAGTTTACAGATCATTTAATTAATATTTCCTCTATTTATCCCTCCTCTTCCTCCTACCGCATGGCTTACACCTGTAAGGACCAAAAGGTAGAATGATTTACAATGTAAAATACCTGAACATAACGGATATAAAACTGTTATTCTTTATGCTAAATGGAAATCATGACAACAATTGGACTAATACTTTTATGATAGGAACATAATAACATCAGAAAACCTAGAAATGTTAAAATTTTACATTTTTAACTAGTATAACAAAGCTACATTCTTCAGTTAAAATTTACTGTTAACAATAAATTACAACGAACACACAACACTACAACATTTTATAATTTCAAATCTTTGGATTTAAGAAAGAACTCACAGTACAAGCCTGTACTCATTATATTCGTATGGAATATAGGTATGTCTATAAGAAACTTCCTGATTAGTAGATATCAAATGTTCAACATATAATATTTAATTAATGCTTGTTATATTTGAAAAAATAAATTGGAAGCTTTATGGTTAAAGATCTTGTTCTACTTATTATTCCATATTCTACTATATCATTAATATATATGAAATTTACCTCTCTGTCTGTTAAACTGACGACTACGGACACCTTGTCTCAGTGCTGTCTGAAGTCTTACACGTCTGAAAGGCTTTGGTTGACTACTGCTAGTATCTAAGGAAAACATTAAGATATAAGAAAACATTAAAAAAACCAAGAAGCAGTTACAATGGCAGAATTAATTACTACAGAAAGGCACAAAGATATATTCATTTGCTTTCAATATTCGTCTGGTTTTTAACACTGAAGAATATTTAACAAAAAAAGGGTAAAAAGTAAAACAAAAACTTTTTTTAAAGAAAGGTTTGACTTTCAAAATTTATTCATCCAACTGTCACAACTGACACTTCATTTTCAGATACTTCATATCCCATCAGCAAATCCTACCAGCTCACATTTAAATATGTATCCTAAATCTAAGTTCTTTTCACTGCATCTATCAGGTTCTCTACACCGTCAGCATCTTCACCTTGAACTATTGCAATAGCCTCCACATGTTCTCCTTGGCTTTGCCCACTACTCATTTTTAGTCTGTTCTACACACCAAAACCAAATTGACAACCAGATCAGAGCATTATTATTCTCTGTGGAACCCTTCAGCAGTTTCCTATGTGCATACTCAGGCAATCACAAAAACACACTTGATCTACTCCCCCGCCCCCAGCTCTTATCACAGTTTCCTGTTAGTCTTTGCCCTCATTCTGTTCCAGCAGTGTAATACTGGCCTCCTTGCTGATTCTGCAAACAACAGACTCGCAGTGCTGCCTTATGGACTTCACATTAGTGGCTTCCTTTGACCCAGTACACTCTTCTTCCAAAGGCTGTACAGCTTTGGTCCCTTTCTCCTTCAGGTCTTTACTTAAACGTCACTTTCTTAATAGCACTTTCTGTGAATTTCTTCAGAATTTCAACATTTACCATATGTTTTAATTATACCCATATATGTAAAGACATTAGGATACTGCTGGAAATATTGGAACACTCAATGAATGCTAAATGTTACCGTCTGAAACAATTCCACAGAAGCAAAATTAACTTCAGGTATTTGGAAAACTAAACTCTGAAACTTTAGTAAACTACAAGATACTCTGGAGGCCGCAGGGTAATAAACAGGGGCCATATAAAAATGAAATGCCCTAGTTTAAATAAAGGCAGGAAGCCTAGGACACTCTTGTTTAGCTTCCTTGCTTCCCAGTGCAGCTCTCCCCTAACAAGTGGTGTTGAACCTTTAGGAGACTCAAGAGCTCTACAAAATGCACATTAACATCCATTAATCTAGGGGCCAGGGAGTTAGCTCAGTAGAATAAGTACTTGCCTGGCAAGCACAGGGCCTGAGTTCAATCCCCAGTTCCGAAAAAAAAATAAATAAATAAATAAAAAATTAAAAAAAAATCCATTAATCTAGATGAAATATGAGTGAACTATTTTTTCAGAAGGTATCTACTGCACCTGTGTTTCTTATTGCTATTGCCAGAATAGTTCTATAATAATGTTTATGCAAAAATAAACCAAGTTTCCTTGAATTAGCAAATTCCCCTTTTAAGTAATACATTTTAAAATTCAGAAAACAGGATTACTGATTTTTTTTGCATGGGAAATTAACTCAACCCCATGCTTGCCAGGCAGACATTGTTCCACTGAGCTATATCCTGGCCATGATTTATTTATTATTATTATTATTGTTTTTTAAATGTATTTAGTACAGGGTCTGCAGGGTCTCACTTGGTAGTGATCCTCCTGTTTTCGCCTCCCAAGCACTGGGATTATAGGCATGCACCACGATGCCCAGTCTCAGCACACCTCAGGGGTGGGGCCAGCACAGCAGATCTGGGGATTGAACCCCTGGTCCCTGCGCCTGCTTGCAGGTGTTTTAATCCACTGAACTACTTGGCTGGCCCTTGGTTTATTGTTAATAGAAGTGCTTTTGCAAATAAGTTTGATGTATGTGAGCAGTACTGTATCAAGAACTTACCTACGGAAGAGCTGGAGGGAGGATCCTGGCTGGTAGAGGGCAGATCTGACTCATCAGATGCCTGCACAGGCTCTTCTTCCTGCTGGCTGTCAATTTCTAGGCCTGCCTCTGAACTAATACTGAAAAGAAGACAAAAATTGAGCAAAAAACTGATTCTGAAATGTATCTTGTTTCTAAATTATTTCTGATATATAGTTTATCATATAACTAGAGCTCTCCTTTAACTAAAATTTATAGACACTGATTTTAGCTATTATGTTTTTTGAGACAGGAAAAAAAGTTGTTTCTTTATCATTCTTTTTCTTACTAGCGAATGTTCCAATTTTTTTTTTTTTTTAATCTTTTCCTCTTTACCTTTTTCCTTCTCACAAATGTGTATCATATCCTTGACATTCACAGAAAATAGTATCTATTTTTGGTAAATCTATTTTTAGGAGTGCAAAGTACCGAAACTAATTTCTACTAGTCACTACTACTAATACCACACCAGTAAGTCACCTTGGGCTCCAGGCTGAGTGAGACAGGCTAAAGGTATGTGAAATTCCTGGATCAAGGGCTGCAATCCCATTTTTGGAGCAATCGAGGAAGACAGTACAAGAATAACTTGAATGTGCTCTAATCTGTCTGTTAACATCTGCACGTTTTAACCTAGATAAAAATGACAATTTACCTGAGAGATGTTTTTGAACACTGCATGCTGAGGCTGAGAAGTGCTGTGAAATGTAAATTGCATGGGGCTGAAGTAAGGGCTTCAGTTTTAGTCTGAGCTGGGAGGCTAAGCAAACTACTGTATTTTAACATGTCAAGTCTGTGGTCTGGTTTATAAAAACAATTTGGTTTTATAATTTGTGTTTTGCAGGATTATCTGGGTTAGGAATTACATACATAAAGTGACCTGATTACATGGTACAGAAGTAATGGCAGGGAGAATTCTTCCCCAAATGAAGTAGTACTATGTTAGAGAATAACTACAGCCCTCATGAACTACAGATACCTATATAAAATGTTGCTAAATGAAGTCTTTGAGTCTTAACCTAGGAAACCTGCGTTCCGTTTCTAGCTATGTGTTAGTAGCTCACTTTATAAAAAATTAGGCTCTGATTTGAAAGTAAACCTCAAGACCAGTGTCCAATTCCTCTTCCCATTAAATTGCTCTACTTCCTTTGGATTAAGATATATTTGTCATAAGATACTCCTTTTGTTAAATTTTCTTTGAAAAGTGATACATTACAAAATGGAGTCATGTCTTAAAAACTACTACAGAATCTCTAATTTTTATTAAGTATTCAGGAACAAAATCTCAATGTTCAAAATAAAGTGATGATTACTTGAGAGCCCACTACTAAATGGAAAATGAGTCATTTCCTACCTAATATTCCTGATTTTCACAGAAAGACTTCATTCTTTGGGAGAAGTTCCAGTAGCTATATTAATGAAAAGGCACCAATAGTTTTAAAGAAATACTCTAGACTATATTATGCAATTTTCAGGAAAATATAATGGTTCTTAAAAATCATTATATAATTTATAAGTCTCCTTTCTTTCTTTTAATGTATGTGGTACAGGGTCTCACTATGCAGCTCGGACTCGTAGTGATCCTTCTGTTTTCAGCCTTTTCAGTGCTGGGATTACAAGTGCCTGCCACCATGCACGGTCTCAGTGGCCTGCTCAGTATACCTGGGTGTGGGGCTGGCGCAGCATGTGGTGTGGGAGATGAACCTTGGCACCTGCGCTTGCCTAAGCAGGTGCTTAGTCCACTGAAATTTCTCACTGGCTAAATCTCCAATTTCTAAAATGTATTACTATATGCAATATAGCCTTTCAAAATACATGATCTATTTTACTATTTTAGCAGGATGTTACTGAAAATAGCTCAACACAGTAATTTCTGGTTTTAAAAAAAAGCAAATGTAAAAATATGGTGATTCTATGGGAAGAAAACAATCTATAAACTTTTACCCTTCAGATTCTGCCTCAACAAATACTTCATCTCCATCATCGCCTGTTGCCGTTTCATTTGTTGTGGACAAAGTGCCAGTGGATGTTGTCACCATTGGAACAGACTGAGAAGCATGCTCTGATGTGTCAGAGGTGGTACTCTCCGTAAATACAGTCACTTGAAAAAGAAATCAAAACCTCACTTGTGGTATACTAAACTGTTAGAATATACTTCGAAGGATTCCATATAAACAATAAACCACAAAATTTATGTATCTTTAATATCTACCTGGGGCTGCTACTTGGAGAGGAGTAGTAGGAACGCTTCGACCACCAGACTCTTCTTCATGAGCTAGGAAAAGGGGGGTTTCATACATCCCTAAACCTAAAAATAATTCAGAGTGTTAATGAACGCCTGAAAACCTGAAATTGCCATTTAGCTGAAAGAAAAGCAACTAGCAGAGATTCACAACTTTGGTGAAACCTACCACGTATTTATTTCAAAATTGAGCTTTCAAAATTT